GCTAATAAAGATAAGGATAAGCTTAGACCATACCGTCAAGAAATGTAGCATAAGGGAGAAGGCAGCATACTGACCTTAGTAATCAGTTCTGCCAGTGAAAACACAGCAGACGTCTTAAGCCTGTAAGCCCCAAAGACAGCTGGTAGCTCATTCTGCAAAATTAAAGTTTAAGGATGGCTTCCTTTTCAGGACTGATGTATATGCTCAAAATACTATTGACCATACAAACCTTTTCATTGATATGGATACAGAAAAGGCTTTTTCTCTTAAAAAGCAAGCCCTCCATTATGAATTGAGCGTTGTCACAAAGTTCTGGCTATAGAAGTTATGAAGAATGAAAACACTGCTGAAGATGCAGCATGTACCTTGCTGTTGGTACTCTTAAAGTAGCAGATGGTCTTCTCATGCTATGTATCATCAGTATACCAAACAGAGGCCTACAGAGTTTAAAATTCAAACCAATAAGGCAAATAAATATGTTGCAATAACTAAAGAAAAGAAATCCTGATTGATGAGTAAAAATGGTCACACTAAGCTGCAAGAACCTGGTAGTTTTTGTTTATTGCTAGAAATAGCAATGTAGAATTAAAATGTCAGATTAGTTTAATACAACCAAATAGAGACTCATCCACTAACATCAGAATTTTGGATGACCAAGGAATGAAGAAAGGATATAAGACAGTCACCACCTCCCTTTGGAAAAAGACAGTTCTCGGTGCTCTGCAGATGTCTAAAAGGGAACTGATGGACACCTTCAGGAGCTTTGGAATTAAGGCAGCTTCAGCGTTGCAGGGAGGAAGTCCTTGCAACACCAGAGTGCAAAACCATTAAAGAAAGAGAGGCCAAGGAGAAGCCTGCCTTAATCGGTTGCATCCATAGATGTGAAATGACACTGTATTTTAAACGTTTTGTTCAAACTGAGGCATTCAAAGCATTCCCTATGTTCTTATCCAGGCACACCAGCTTTGTTTTGGGGATGAAAGCTAAATGCACCCCAAATACTCACCTCATCTGTTGTGTTTTCATTTGTTTTGTACACTTTTTTCTACCTTTGGATCAAGGTGCTAGAAATTAAGCTAGGAGTAGAGCATTTCATTCTCCATTTCTCGGCTAATTTTTTGCCATATTTGAACTGTGCATTAAATTATCCAGACTAGGGACTTGACCAGAATACACTATAGCCCTCCTCTGGCCACATGCCTATACCTCCTCTCTGTGGACAGCTCGATGCTCTTTTTAGACTACCTACTTTCAATGAGGCTCTGGGCTTCCCAAACAGAAAGCGCTGAAGCCTTTCCTTATTCAGTGCAAGAAAACAAATGCAGTTGGCATTTTTCTCCTAGACACATTTCACAAAGGCAGTGCATGTTGGAACTAACAAAAAGTTAGTGAGAAGAGATAAACTCAAGAATATGGCTGATGGCAAAAGAAAATCCTAAAGGGAAGAATCATAAGTCTCCAAAGATGATTCAGAAGGCAGTAAAAGTCCCTGAGCTGCAAATAGTCTGGGGCTAGAAGCATACCCAGGGGAAGTATCATCTCCTTTTCCTGTTTTTGATAATCTTTCCTCTTGGCCACTATCAGAGACCATGATACAGGCTAGGAAGATCTTTGATATGATACAGGGAGGCTGTTCTTACATTTTTATAATTGATGAGAGAAACAACAATAGCAGTTAAAAAGGAGGGAAGAGACAGCAAAATAGTTGCTCTGAACTGAATCAGTACTTAAGAGGAACTGAAGGTCACTTGATTGCGACGAGACAGAACCTCCTGCAATAGTCCTAGTTATATTGCTTATGCAAACGTGTTCTGGTCTCCAAGATGGGAGCATATATACTCCCAAGATGTCAACACATACATGGACAAACACCCAAAGGAGAAACCTCAAAAAAAAATTCCTCAGTAAGAATAGAATACAGCAACTTTTGGTTTGTTGTCTATTCTTTACTCAATGAACCTGTATTCTTTTCTTAAGAAAAAAGTTATCTCCAAATAATTATTTTTCAGTTGTGAGCCTTAAAAACTAGACATTTACTACAGAAAATCTGGCAAGAATAAACAAGTGGGTAGACTCATGCATAGTTCTACATGGTTGAACATTGAACGGTTAAACTGACAGATTATTTGGTTTTGTCTCCAGCCAAGAAATACAATAAAAATCAGGAAGTTTAGTCAAAAATGTATTAAAAATTAACATGAGTCTTAAAGATCTCAGAAGTCTTAGCTGTGTAGAATAGCATTACAAGTCAACATTTTAAAAATATGGGGATTTTTTGGTACATAGAAAAAAAAAAATGAAGATACAACTGGTACATACTCTTCATTTTTATATTTAATCCAAGGAGTATTTTTACAAGTTATTTTATTCAGAATGTGAAAAATAGGTAGCTCATGAGGAAAGAGCCTTTTTTCTTCTTTCCACTTGATATTTCAACCTTCTTTTGAGAGAGATTTGGTCACTCAGTCTGAAGGTGACTGCCTGGAGATACTAGTTGTACAGACACCTGCTCTTCCTGGTGTATTTCAAGATACACCTGAAAAAGACATTTTCTTTTTCAAGATTTGTGTGCTATTTAATAGCAAACCAGATGTCCTCCAAAACAGGATAAAAATGAATCCCATGAGACTATAACACTTTCTTGAAAGTCTAGAACATACCCAAGCAAAGAAAACATACACACCTCACACCCGACGAAACCATACAATAAAACCCCGTGTTTTACAGAAGAGACAGTACCCATGGAATGGTGCAACAGACTCTTCAAAGAGGTCTCCAGGAGGGAAACGGGTACTAAAGCCTAAATACTTGGCACAAGAGGTTGACTAACAAGAAGTATTCCCAATAGCTGTTATGCCCTGGTTCATTGGTGCACTTAGAGCTAAACAGACATTCATCTGGCAACAGTTCAAGGCTGGTGAGCACCTTGCAAACATCCCTCCAGCTCAACTCATAACAAGGAGGGGGGCAAAAAAACCCAAAACAACCAAAACCAAAACAAGACTCTCACAATACCAAGCAAATGTAACAAAAATTAATATGCTTTCCCAGGTTTTATAGCAAACAGATAAGCAGCTGAAAAGCATATATTTATAAAGCAAAGGCAGTATTGATACTCTTGTAGCCTCTGGGAATAGGCAAAAGCTATACATCATTACTATCCAAGTCATTCATGATGTGGTTTACATCCATTCCATAGCCAAAGGAAAAGATGTGTTGTATTTGTTGTATTGCTTTGCATATTCTTGGTTTCAAAAATTTCTATTCTAGAAACAATCACTTGTGTTTTAATGAAGCAACCTACACTGTCTACAGCCAATAGAAATTCAGAACTCCAGATAACCTACTATACAACATCTGTCAGAACACTGTCTACTTGCAATGTTATTTGTATTAATACATTCCCACCATATACACGCAGGAAACTGTAGTCTCTTTCTCACGTCCATTAATGCTATTTATCTTCCTTCCAGAATAGAATAAATTGCAATCCCCAGCCAAAGGTAAGGAACCAAATATTTAAAATGGTGTAGTTTACTTACATTCTAGAAAGTAAGTATGTACTGTTGATGTGAGCAACTTTCTAGGTACTTAATTTGATCCCTTGATTTTCCAGGCACTTTCATTGGCTATTGCTTCTAGACACATTTTGTACATGTAAAATTAACCAATTCTATATAAGGGATAGATTCCTTATTTAATATTAAAAAATTGGCTTCCAAGTCCTTTATGTGAAGCCAAAATGTCAAAACTATTTGGAGCAAAACTACATCTTATTAATAAAATAAAGGTGCAAGAGCAACCTTAAAACTGCAACTAGAGAAGTAACCTAAACTTTATTCAGAATTTTAACTGAAACATCTAGCAAACACAGATGAGTAACTGGGGGATCTTTTTTGTAATTTCCTCGTTCCTCATCCCATCTGACTATTCTTCATTTAAAAAGATAGTTCAGGAGGTAATCTGCCTATTTCACTGCAGACAGCTTTGCGTATTAAAATAAATTAACAAATGTAACAAAAAAACCTGCTCAGTGCAGACATGTAGAACATGGATATTCACAGCTGCAAAGAATAGAAAAATACAGACTAAAGCCTGTTGGTCTCAAAATATTTTACATGAGTTTCACTATCATTATCTTCATTTTGTAAAGGAAGAGTTTGCTGAAGATCACCATGTAAGTTTGTCGCAAAATTAGAAAGCCTCAGCCCACACGAGATCTACAGAACTCCCTATATACATATGTATATATTCCTAAAAAAGTACAGAGAGGAAAACAAGCATCACATATTGCACAATGAAAAAGTTGAGAGCAGACAAAAATGGACGATGAAAAATGATTATTTTGGCATTTCAGTTAACTCTTTACTAAAAAACTCATCCCTCCAAAATTCACATGCAAAATACATGATTCCTCACACACCCAAGTGGAATGGTGTTTACAAAGGCTTGCAATAACATGCATTATTCTCTACCAAGAGATTCGAAAACAAATTTCTGTTTTGCTTGAAGTTGGTCTAATGAGTTATTGGTTTCTAGAGCAGTCAGCAATATTAAGAGCAAAATTTACAAAAATTAATGTATTTATACTTCCTTTCTTCCGCCTGTGCAGAAGCTCACCATTAGACTGGTAACATCTCCTAAAGTTTAGAACACATACATAGAAAATGCAAAAAGCAGATTTTCAACTCTCACTTAACCCAGACTATTGTATGTGCTTGACTTGATCCAGAGCTCCCTTAAAGTGAATCTTGTCACTGATCCAGTGGACTTCAGGACTGGTCCTCAGCATCACCATCCCCTTCCTACCAGTGAACATACAGTGACCATGCCAATCAGATTTAAAGAATGGACTCCACCCAAGACTCTGAGTAAAGAAGAATGAAGTAGGAATTAGAACTACTTACCTGAAAGGCCTGTACACAAAAATCCTAGTCAGCAAAAAAATAGCACGTTAACCATTACAGTGAAAAGACAAACTATAAGCATCTGCATAAAACTCAGGAAACTTCATACTTCTCTTCTTGATGCTGGTCCTCTTGGTCACTTAGTTCATCATCATCTACCATATGCCCAAATGGTTCAGAAGAAATTGATACCATATTAGACAGAATAACTCTGCTATCACTGCTTCCTGTAAGGATCAGCTGATCATGAGAATGATTGTATCTGACATTCCAGACCCTAAAAAATGAAATCAGAAAGACCAAGAGGTTATTCTTGGCAGGTAGCACATCAATGTTAAATGATTTTTTTCAAAAACAGCACTAAAAATTGATCTTTGACTTAAATGTTGTAAGTACACATAGAAGTGACATGCCTCATTCCAAAGACTGTTTTTTGCCATGTTCATTTGGCTTTTAAGCTTCCATGTCATCTGTTTTCTATGAGGTGTCTTTAAAATTCAACAAATAAGTTTTGAAAAAAAAATCCAAAGAACAAAACACACCATTCAGTGGTATCATTCCTTGAGGGTACATGCCAATTCATTGTTTAGTAAATCAGATAAATATTTAAGTTCTAAATATAAAAATTTCCCCAAAGCAAAACACAGATTAGAAATAACCTGTTAAACAAAAATCTCACAACATTCTTACACTGAAGTTTAAAATAGACCCTTAAACAAAGGTAGGATTATATTTCTCTTCAATTTTTACATTTTACATATCAAGTTAATACCAAATGTCTTACGGTTCTTGTTTTATTCTTTTTCTTTTAATCTTCTGGAAAAAAAAAAAAACCTGTAAATGATGCTTCTGTTAATTCACATCTTCATTCCCCTCAAAGTAGCTTCAGGGTCCAGATTTATTTTGCAAGAATTACTCCAACGCAAATTTTACAAAATACGAACCTTTATAAAATACGAACCGCTCATCTTTTCTTAACCACCAAAGTCAGACAAGGTTCTCTCCTCGCTCCAGCCACAGGCCAGAGTGGTAGATACAGGCTCTAAATACTACCTCAGAGAATAAAATGACTCACTTGCATATTTTGGCTTATGGGCTGCGAAGAGCATGAAAAAAGTGGGGCTGAATTATTGAGCATTTCCATCATTCGACAACAGAAGGATAGATGGCAGCTGCTGTAACCAAAACAGCTCAAGGGCTCTTCTGCACATCAGGTGCAGCAGATCAGGCTCAATTTGGGAAGGCACACCTGTGTCCCAGCTGGCCCCTACAAGCCAAGTTCTGTGCTGTGCTTCTCAAAGGTGTACCCTATCTTCCAACAATGTTAACAACAGTTTCTTGCCAATTAGACTAACATTGTCTAACCTCTTAATTTACAATCACACAAGGAACATTCACATGTTGCAACCTTTCCTCCGTGCAGAAAAATGATTATTCACAATAGCACAAACATAGTTAGTTTGCATTGTTCCTAAACAGTAAAATAATTAGCTGAATAAATTACATAAGCCATCCATCCACAAAACAGCATGCAGATAATTTGTTCTACCAGTGGGAATGCTCTTCTAGCGTCTTCACCGGTTCAGTGATATTTCTTGTGTCCCAGAATTTCACCTTGCAGTCATCTCCACAGCTAGCCAGGTAGTACTGTTTATTGGGATTAAAGTCTAGGTCTCGTACCAGCTGTCCATGTGCATTTTCTATGCAATATATCTGTCTGTAAAACACATTAAAAAAATTAAATGGTCTATAAAAAGCTAACTGCACTGCACTGACAGAAATCTGTTTCCCTGGAAACTTGCATAATCCCCTTAGCACCCACAGACCTAGAGTTCCCATTGCTAGTGCACAGTTTAGGGAAATCCCAGCTGTTAACAACAGTGATTTGTATAGGTTTCTCAGCTTGCACCGAAGCTTTGCTCTTTCCTTGTTTGCATTAGGATCATCTGGAGCTAAAAGGAAACTAGTTCCAGATGATTCTAGCACAGCTCTCTAACAACTGTTATGACATGTCTGCTACTAAACCACAATATTTTCAGATAAGAGCTTCTCCACCCGAGTAGTTATACCAATTCTGTATTTATGACATCTAGTTCTCCCTATATGAAAACTTGAGATGCAAGGGAGGCAAGAGTTATGAACAACAGCTTTTTATTATTGCTCTATTTTGAGCTTACCTTTACCTGTGGCCCTTAAACTACTCAGCCGTGCTCATACTTATGCATGTGGACCACTTCAGAAAACATTTGTGGTACTGCTAACAACCTAGCATCCTTATTCAAAACATCACATTCCATCAGTTGTCTCCGTACTTCACCTCTTAAACTGAGGGCTGTTTTTTTGTTTGTTTCCGCTATTGCATTACCAGTTTTATGAAAAGGCTGTACCGTTCCCATACCCATTCTCAAAGCCACCATCTACCAAAGTTCTGCTTAGATTTAACAGTCTCCTACAATCTTCACTACAACTTGTCAACACTTTGTGAGCTTTTTTCTTTTTTTTAAATGAAAAATGTTTCTCTTCAGAAAAGACTGACCAAAACTTTGTATTTCCCGTGTTGTATACATGTTCTCATCCGAAGACCTGATAGAGAAGTCTCTTGCTTTTAATACCTAACTACTAATACAAAGCAAAATAGCTCCATAAGGAGAGATTCAAAATATACCAGGCCTATACTAAGGCCTATCCTGACAGCTATGGCAGTCACTCGGGATAGAGGATATCACCTACATATCAAACTTCAACACTCTGCTCAGAGTTTGAGAGGTTAAGAATATCACTCAAGTATGCCCTTCTACCAGGTATTCTGGGATCTGAATTCAACATTTCCTCTTAATTTCTTGAAACATCTTTATGGGAAAATTTTTAAATCTCAAGCATGCTTGCAGCAACAAAACACTTCTTTCCTCCTTTATTGCACTTTTCACTTCTTTCTTGCACTTCTTGCATTGCTCATGAACATGTAAGGGCTTAAAAAGAAATACCACTGTCCACTGAGTAGTACTTACCATGAAAGCCTTTAGCCCAACTTAACTATTATTCCCACCACTTGATCCCTTTCCTTCCCAAATATGAATATTCTTTTCTTTCATTCTATCGTCCTACCTACAGCAATAATACCTACCTTGAATTTCCCACTTCCATCATAACATTAAGGCCACATGAATATTTTCTCCAGCTACTGGTTCCACATTCTTATATTCTTCTTCTTCCACATTTTTTAGAATTTATTCTTGGAGTCTGAATTTTCCTGATTCAATTCTCTCTCTAAATCCATTCAGCCTAGTGTCTGTCTTCTCTGCTTCACAAGCTCTTCTCTGACAAAGAGTGCTTCCTAGCCTAGTCTAGGAGTCTTCCCACCAACCTCTTCCCCCCACACCTTCTTTGTTTGCTATGTCCAAAATCATTCACTCCTTCTATCTTACAGCTATCATAATCACACTCCGCAGAAGTAGGTATTCTAGCTACTTCTTTAGTATCTCTCCTCTCTTTGCTGCTATAACAGTTTTCTGTCCTTGATTTTTTTTTCTCCTCTCATTTTTTACTTCTTATACTGCCACAGTTTATACTGCCCTGACTTTAAACTCCTACCTCTAGCCTAACCAGCCATTATCAAATATTCACATCATTCTAGACATATTACAGTGTAATTGCAGATGAGACTTCTTGCACATATTTTTCAAGTGCATTGCAAACAGCTCTTTGGCATAGCCTAGTACTTGTAAGTTGGTTCAAGGGCTATCTAATCTGAGCTTCACTTAAAGTAATTAGAATTGTGGGGTTTGCTTTTGTTAACCAAGCTACCTGATCTTGTTAATATCTGGACTATCTATCTTTCATAACAGTTACCCAGAGTATTCACTTAATGCAAGGTAGAGATGCTTTTTTTAATGAGACAGACCATGAAGCAGACTTCACAGTATTTAACATTTCCTACTTAGAAACACAAGCTTTAATCTTAAGGTCTGCATGCTATATGTTAAGAATAGGGTAATTACAAAAACATCACAAAAAAGCAACTTAAAAAAAAATAACCACCCTTCTTCTTTGACCTTTCTTTCCTCTCTTGTATGCTTCATTTAAAAGAGTCTTCATAAATGAAACTGTACACATATATATGAAGTTAGATTTTTATATATCCTTTTACAGGGCAAAGAACAGGACTTTCAAACCTGATGACAAGCGTACTGGAAGTGACTTAATTATTATATTTGCATTTTTAGCTTTTGTTTATTAAATTAAATAAACCTTTTTGGCAAAAACACACAAGGTTGGCAAACATGGGGATTTATTGCTACACCCCTGAGCTGGCAGGAACCATAGAACTAAATTTAAAGTCATCCCCCTTTAAGGCAACAAAAGTTATTACAAGACATCAGTCTTCTCGGTTTAGTGATAAATTACTATGTGCTAAGGGGATAAAGCGTATCTTAAAAAAGCTTGCACAGGCTTTAGTAGTCATGGCAACAGATGTGCACAACATCACTCCTTTGCTTATCAAAATCACAATGGAGCAGGGGGAAAACACATTATTAGGTATATTCAAAGCCTTAATTGATTTGGTTTTGATTTTGATAGATTCAGTAGTTTCATATAACTAGCATGCTACAATCTTTAATATAGTATAGTATACTATTTGTTAAAATCGGAAAAGTGAAGGGTGAACTTACCCTGTGAATTACCTTCAGAGATTAAAGTTACCATTAAATAGTATGCTATGAAGACAGTTCATAGTACAGTCAGGACTGATGTTAAATCATTTTCAGGTTGAATTACAGAACAGCTTCATTCAAGTAATGCCTATGTATTGAATAAATCATCTTGAGACTAGTACATAGTTCAGTAAAACTCAATATACAAGTTAGAATTGAAGCTGAGGGGAAAAACCAGAAAAACCCCTTTACTAAATTGTAAATATATCAACTACGCAAGCCCAACCATTCCTTTTATAAGTGATAGCTTTGCCACATTTCTAATCTTTAAAAAAAAAAAAAATTAAAAAAATTATGTTAGGAGCAATGAAAAATCCATCTCCAAAGGAGATTGTTTTTTTTAGAGAACAAGACTGCAATTTCTCATTACCTCATGCTTCGTGTATCCCATCCTCGAACAGTGGTATCATTGGCTGTTGCAATCTGTGTACAATTGTGGTGTGGACTCCATCTTCCAGAAGTAAATTTTAATTGTCCTTTCCCTTCCAAGGCTGCAGAACTAGAGAGCTAAAATAATGAAACAAAGCTGGCAATGTTTCTAAATGTAAAGCTAAAATGAAATTAGTTCCACTGAAGACAAAAACTGCACAATAGCCCATTGTTCCAAGTGTAACAGGCTACCAAAATCCTAGGATAAAAAACAGAAAAAATTAGAAGCTAGAGCTGATTTTGTATCTCACAAAGTAATTTTTACAAAGGCTTATGCAGTGTAATGTATTCAGAAATATCAGATGTACTGTTCTACTTTATAAGCTAAAATAAACAGTTTCATATCATTTGTTGAAACAGTAGATAGACAATAAGGGCACATTGCACAAATTTGTAGCTGCCTCAGACAAATAAACACAGCCATTTAGTTTCATGAACAGTCCTACAAGACTGTTTTTTCATGTCAAAATGCCAAATTTTATCTGCAGGAACAGAATTATAGCGTCAAAGACCCTTCGATAAATGTATAGTAGCTTTTAAAAACAAAAAAATCAAGGCCCCAGTGCCCATGTCATCACATACATGCCTATTAAAATAATAGCAGGTACTAGATCTACAATCTGTGAGAATTAAAGGTTTCAGTTTGAAAACTAGACTTGCATGTCATTGAGCAGACAGCTCTGCATCTCCATAGTTAATGAAAAGAAGACAAAAAGTAATCGACTTTCTCTTTGAAGTTGTACAGCAAATTATCCTCCAATTCCATGTGAGCATGGGGAAAAATGAAGCTGCAAACACTGCAAATTACTTATACTTCTAATCACTTACTGAAACTGATTGTTTAATATCTGAAGCAGGGGGGGAGGAAAACCAAAATACTTGTATTTTAATCAGATATAAGATTTATACAAATTTCAAATGGCTAGGCAGGCAGCAGACTTATTTGGTCATCTTGCGCACTATGTTCACATTTCAAAATGTTTCATAAAGATGGATTTCACAAAAGCAGATTACTGTGCTGGATCTTGTTGGATCACTTTTCTCCTTTACCTAAATCCTAACACATCATAAAATATTCTATTAAATAGAAGATTTCTCAGCAGAAATATTACACTTTGATGGATGAAAAAGACTAAAACATACATACTGCTTACATAAACTTTAACGGATATCAACAGAAAAATATGCTGTCAATACAAGACTGCTTAAATTTATTTGTATATGATATCAATATCCATTTCTGTATTTTGCTAACTTTTTACTATTACAGTTCCATTAAGAATATCGTATTTATTTAGACTTCAGATTACCAATCTAGAAATTACAACTCTTCCATCACTGAAGACAATGCTACCTAAGATGTGTTGTCTTCCAAAAATTTTTCATTTTTTTTTTTTTAAAAATGTAGAATTCCCAGCATGCAAGGTTATGTATTGCACATGAGTGATATAACACTGTGGCCAAACCTACTCCTCTAGAACCATTCTTCCTCAAGTACAAATAGAATCATAGAATCATAGAATCATTAAGGTTGGAAAAGACCTCTAAGATCATCGAGTCCAACCGTTAACCCAACACCACCATGCCCACTAAACCATGTCCCTACGCGCCTCATCTACACATCTTTTAAATACTTCCAGGGATGGTGACTCCACCACTTCCCTGGGCAGCCTGTTCCAAGGCTTGACAACCCTTTCGG